GGCAAAGTATGGGCAGTAAACTCACAAGAGATTCAACATACCATAAGTGAAGTAGATGCTTTACTTTCCCATCCTAGATGGCGTCTAGGTGGAGACATTATCAGAACATGCTGCAAAATATAAACCATAGGAGGACCTAAAAAGCGCTGTCCATTTAGAGGAAACCATTTTAGTTGAACCACAGCATCAGGAGGTACAGGTGGCTGCTTAACCCTCAACATGGCTTCATCTTGGCTTGATGAAGGTACCTAAGCATAACAGTCTGTCCAAGATGAAGCTTCAGCAGCTACCACTGCAGGCTACTTCTTGTCTTTTAATATTTTTATAGTTATCATTTCTTACCCGATCATGATGGAAATGTTCACTGTAAGGATGATAATATACCTCACATCCAGGTGGTACCTCATTGTTTTGCATGATAGCTCCTTGGTGAATTGATCCACAAGGACGTTTTTCCAATCTGCCAAAACCATTAGAGGATATGCCTTACTATGCTTATGATGAATATTATTCACATAAGTAGCCAGACTCTCGGCGATGCTCCTCATCTGAGCCTTGGACTCAGCCCAAAGATCATTTTGACCCTCCACTTGATCGAACCAACAGCAAATATTGGCCACAACTGTTTCCATATTTTTTAATTGCTCCTCATCAAAATGCTTGATGGCATCCAGGGCAGGAATATTTAAGCTCAATATTAGGTGTTGGACAGCTTACTCTTGAGATCAGCCATTCCACACAGTTACCTGCTAGAAAACCTTCACAATATGGTTCATATTTTTCTTCACTACATATTTGAACAATAGGGAAAATCCTGCTAGGCTTCACTAACAAGACCATGTGATGCTGATTAAAGAATGCCCCTTGTGGGTTCTCAGCCTTCAACTGAATGAGGTACTACCACCACCATGAGTGCAGTGCAGTAAGCATACTCATTGACTCTGACCCTCTGAATAGTATTCAGTCCCCAGTCTTGGATGGCAGAGTGATTTGTTTCTCTGGCAGGTAATCCTGAAACTTAATGTAACCCTAACTTTCATCACAATCCACAGTCACCCTGGTAGGATACCTCCTAGTTCAGAGAGGTTCTCTTCGGCTTGTGGTTTGCAATATTCATCAGTTGCTGCTCACTGTTTCACCTTCTGGTAAACAGCTCCGATTAGAAGACTTTATCCACCAGTGATACATTGTTTTTAGCTGATTACTGTCCACTTTCTGACACTCACCAGATTCCATTCCTCTGCCAGTTGTCCATGCCTCCCTTGTGTGATTATATATCCTTAGGGACAATGCCCTATCTATCATTCTGGGTGCACCATGCAGTGGCTGATCTTCCTGAATCTGTGGTTGCAGAAAGATCGAAGTCATGGATCATCATTGGAAAAAGTCTGGTCAAGGAAGGACTTTTCCTAGATTCGACCTCTCATTCTTACATCTGCCTAGCCTCAGCGGCAAACTCTCACTCTTGGTCATGAGTACTTCTACCAAGAGAAAATGGCATTTATTAAATTAGAATCATTATTGTGAACACACACACTAGCAAAAACAGTAAACTTCCCAATTACTCATGTTTTAATCCTGGTTACAGTCTAAAGATTCTCTCTCCTACCTACTTTATAATATCTTCAGATTAAAACTGGTTTCTTCAAAGAGTGTTTGGCATGTTCCTTTTATAAGGGAAGGGTCAGCAATATAAATTTTGAAGTAATACTGAATTTATTAAATTAAATAAATTAAAGCAAAACAATAAAAAATACTAGACATGACTTGCAATACACAATAAAAAAATCTGTATCAAGTCAAAGACAAAATGTACCCACATCTCCAACCCCAAAATCTAAAGCTTTGCTAATAACCATCGTCATCCGTGCCTATATATTTCATAACCCTTTATTCTCCTGAAGAATATTAATGAACTATTTGAACACGCTCGAGTTTTGGGTCTTGTTTGGAGATCATTACAACTTTTGTATGTGATCCTGTGTGCTAACTTTTTAATCAAAATTTATATTTTCACTGTGTCAGCAGTCAAGTGATATATGTTAAGAAGTATGATAACACTTAGATGAAAAACTTACAAAATAAACTCGTATTCAAAGAACAATACGAAATCTTAAACGGTTAATTTTATAAACAGGAATATTTAACTAACAAGAAAAAGGTAAAAGTTTGGGAAGCATATATTCAATTGCCTTAGGTAACGTAACCTGTTCTCAGAAACGACTAGTACCAAGTCAATTAGGAAAAAATGAGTGGGTAATGCAAATGCTGAAACTACCAACCACTGACATCATCATGATACCTATTTAGTATCAGGCTATTCCCAAAGTTAGGACAAATGTAATGCGATATCAGCAGTTACTAGTAGTATGATCAAAACTGGGAAAACGGGCTTGTGTCATTACTCATAGTGGCAAATTGATGAACGATCCAGTATCTTAAAATGGTTTATGAATTAAAGTAGGATGATCAAATTTGAAATACAATTAATTTTGTCTCTAAAACTGATTTTAACTTTTTTATTATGTTTTCAAATGACGATTGAGTAATTGTTTGTTTGTTTTGAATTTCGCGCAAAGCTACACTAGGGCTATCTGCTCTAGCCGCCCCTAATTTAGCAGTGTAAGACTAAAGTAGCTAGTCATCCTTTCCAACTCTTGGGCTACTCTTTTACCAACGAATAGTGGGATTGACCGTCACATTATAACGCCCCCAAGGATGAAAGGGCGAGCATGTTTGGTAGGACGGGGATTCGAACCCGCGACCCGCAGATTGCGAGTCGAGTGCCCTAACCACCTGGCCATGCTGGGCCGACGATTGAGTAATATTTGAAGTAATTTCTAAGGCTGATGTAACAAGAAGCAACAATGGATGGGAAGAATCTCTAAAACTGAAGATCTCGTATGCATCTGTGAATATATGTAAAGGTAAAGTGGTGTTTGTACTAACTCAGTAGAACTCTAGGTAATCAGCTCATCATGACAGCTTAGTTTTACCTGAGAGGTTGAAATACTTATTATCGTGAACATAAGACTGGGTTCAACTAAACAGGGTGTATTTAAATAAATTTCCAGCAGATAGCTTCTTAACGAGATCCTTCAGGCAGATCGTACTATCTGGTGGCTCTATAAGACACATAATGGCAGCTAGAAACAACCCCCTTCATTATGGAACTTGTTGAACATTTCATTCATTGTGATACAATGTCTCAGATATCCATTGTCAAAGCACTTGCATTACTATGAATATCTTCTTTACTAGAAGAATATCAAACTGTTTTTGATAACAAAACTGAGACGTGACAACGGTAAACAATAATACAACATTGTGCGAAGGGTCCTTTGAGATTTACAATATCTTGAAAAACATAAAAACCAAAACGATTTTCTTAGTACGATGAGGCCGAACAAACAACTGAAATCTAGCAAACCATCATATCAAAACTAATGTAACGCATCCAGTCAAACAATAACATGTTAGGTTGTCCTGCACAATATGTCCTTGCTCAAGCCAAGATCCAATACATGCTCCTAGAAAGGTGTGCTCCACTTGTGGTCTTCCCCGTTTATTGTGATTAAGAATGCTTATCTCATTAATTTGTCTTGTATCTTGCGTGATATTTACTTGGATTTTTTTTATTTTACTTCTTTTATAATGTTGTATTTTAGGTACTGCTACTTTATAATATATTTTTTAATAATTTTATTGTTTTAGTTCTAGGATGATTTTAGACGATCAGTGTATTCTTAAGCAATCTTTCACGTTGTTTTATATTGTAGTTAAAATGTTTTACCGATCCATATCATTGTTTTTATTCCGTATTTCGATTTGTAGGTTCTATTTCATATGGCCAATGTGTAAGTACATTGGGCATGCCAAACTCATATATATATTATAAGTGACGTATAATTCTCAGCCTGACTCCATAAAAATTCATTAAAAGAGAGATAGTTGCATTGCATTGTCTATTGTACTCGTACTCTGTCTGATCGGCATGAGTTAACATTATTGCCCAACAATGCAGCTACCATTTTACAAGCTGCAGCAAAGGATAATGAAGTGAACTTTTTGAAAATTTTTTCACACAATAAAATTACATTCTAATACAATTTAGTCTTAAAAGATTGAGCAATACAATGAAATTGGAAAGGTTTGCTTTGTACATTTGGAGACTGTTTTTCTTTTTTTTTTCAATATTTATAAAAACAGTACTGAACGTTTTAAATAGTTGAAATATGCTGATAAAATATTTAGTTAACTATTTTCAACTTAAGATTTGCGAGGTCTGCAATCATACACTTTGGTATGTTTACGCTTTCCAATTAGTCGAAAGAATGAAAGAATAAAAATATTGTTTTGACCTCCACTGTGTAATAAAGAATGAGCATAAATAATAACTACATTCCATAACTACAGAGTAATGTGCTCTATTACGTGTATCCGTCTTGATACATTTGAGTACTACCGAAAGAACAATATTGGTTTAGAAAAGTTCTGATTTGGTCATAGGGGGCGCTTCAAGTCTAAGGCAAGAAAAAGAAAATAAGAGACACAACTTCCATAAATGCAGAGAGATTTGACCTACATATACAAGGTTTGGTATACTTAACTGTAAACGTGCATAATACTTGTGGAAACATATATGATTAAAACTGTTATTTCCGATGCCCTTTTCCTTGGCTGTGGTTTCGCTAAATAGAAGGAATGTTGATTTGGGCTATTATAGAACTATTAGATCAAAAATCTGTGTATACGGTCGACCTTGCATGCGGAGGAATTTCAGAATAATTCACATAAAAACTAGTATGACTGTTATATGAAACACACCAAAATACTTGCTTACACCTAATTTCAATATATATATATAATACACTCAAGGTAGACAACAACATTCTTTCTAAATTGATGAAGGTAAAAACAAAAAATAATAATAATACCGATCAAGGTTTCTTTACCCTTGTACCTGGTTATTTGAATTGAATTGTTTTATCGAACATCAGAAATATATAAAAGGTAGTGGAACTCACTTTCGCACCACACATTGTATCTCCTTCTCCAGTGAACTGAAACCAAGTTTCTCTTATTCCAAAATGCTGAAGGTAAGTATAGGAAAAATCACGTTACTTTCTTGAAAAAAAATTATTTTTTGTTTCTTTTAGATAATTGTTTGTTTGAGAACTGATTTCTTCTAAGCTCTACTTTGTAGACAAAGCATAACTATCGTTATTCTATTATCGATTAAGATTCGTAATTACCTCCCCCCAGTGGCACAGCGGTATGTCTTCGGACTTACAACGCTAAAAACCGGGTTTCGATACCCGTGGTGGTCAGAGCACAAATAGCCCATTGTGTTGCTTTGTGCTTGAATTCAAAACAAACAAACAAGCTCTGTAATTCAAATATATACCTATCTAGTCTTAACAAAATACAAGATAATATATTCTTTCCACAGTGACAAGTAATGTACCACTAATGAAAATCAATTTGTACAGGTTGCTGTGTTGCTTGCCGTTGTTGCTGTTGCCAGAGCTGGATTTAACCATGGCATTGCCGGCGGTGTCAGTACAAGTTCTCGTGCTCAAGACGTAAGTATATTAAAAACGGTATATAATACAGAATGATACGGTAATATTAAAACTACGTTTGACTCTGAAACCATCTTAATCCGTGAATTATAACTTCATTAGTATAAAAAAAAAAGGTTAACATTTGTTTTACTTTTCTCTTAATTGTACCATAATTGTCATTATCGGCTGCATTATTTAAGGGTTTTCACTCTCAAGTCTAAAGACGACAGGGTGTTTATAGAAGTTATAATTAAAATCTAAATTATTACAATACATGACAGAGCCTTGAGTTACACTTAAGGTTATCAAAAATCATATCAAACATAGTTTGCTCGAATATAACCAAAGATATTATATAACAACGACAGTAGCTAATGATATAGCGAATAACCATACTATATCATTAAGGTTTGAATATTCTTTTATCAACAGAGATATCTTTGTAAACACCCCCCTCCTTAACACCAAAGAAAAATTATGTTCTATTAATAGTAATATATGTGTAACATATATATTTATATAATATATATATATCTTGCATTATACATTGAAAATAATGATATACTAGGAATTTGATAAACAACACAATTTAAACTTGTTTAAGGAAGCCCATTATGCTAATATAATAATAAGTAGACAAACAACGAGTTACCAGCGTAATGAAGTGATTTATTTATGGTGGAACATACTGCATGTTTCGACAGAATATTGGTTTGTCTTCTCCCGTAACTAAGCGATACAGAGTTATTACTTACACATAAACAAAGAAACAAACGCTTTTCTTATAACAATTGGTTAAGAATGTCTTAACAACTTGTTGAAGTGATTTTGTTATTTGGGGATCCTGCAAATTTTCATGTTCTTGCACCACTGCTATGTCTACTAGACTTTGTTGTTGTCGTTTATTTTATTTAATTTTTTATTTTTGAGATACATCAACAATTGAGGATTTTCACACGTCCATAAACCTGGAAGATTTGGAGCAAAAAATCATAACAGCCTGCATAACCGTAAAACTGCAAATATTACTAAACCTGAGCAGCAATCTCAACATGACTTAATGGCATGATATTAGGGTGTGCTCATTTTGTATCGCCCTGAGTTATCATCAACTTCTTCATAACCATTTTACACTTTGGTTCAGATCGTTTCATTCTCCACCTTATTTTCCATATTAATTGCCATCTTCTTCTGCAATAGAGATAAACGTGTCTTGTCTCTCTTGAAATCCAAATTTAGTAACTTTGGCAATGCCTACACATTTATTAAGATTTGGCTGAACGTTGCTCTTTTGTTCAAACATGTTTCTTTTATTGGTTTCGTTTTAGGACTTTGGTAACTACAGATTCAATTACCGCATTGTGGATCCTCTTGGCGCCTCCAACTCCCGTTGGGAAGCTGGCGACGCCCACGGCAACCAAGTTGGTTCCTACACCATCAGAGACATCGACGGACGGGCCAGGAACGTCAATTACGTGGCTGATGGAGCTGGATTCCGCGCCAAGATCCATACCAACGAACAGGGCACTGCCACCAGCCTTCCTGCCGCCGCTGTCGTAGCCTCTAGCCAGCCTGGAATCCCTGCAGTTGGTCCTGCTACCGTCCGTATAGCTCATGCTGCCCCCGTTGCTCACGCTCCTGTCGCTGCCATTGCCCACGCTCCTGCCGTAGCTGCTGTTGCTCACGGACCAGCTGTTGGTTTAGCTGGTGGTTTTGGTCTAGGACTCGGTTTCGGAGGACATCTGGGAGGACATGGACTAGGTTACCTTGGAGGATATGGACTAGGCCATCTGGGAGGTCTAATTCATCACTGAGTTGTCAATGATGAAACGTGTATTTTGTAAATTGTAAGCATGTTTATAGCATGTCACAATACAGAAAGCTGTAACCTTAAATATATACAAAATAATATTATTTGAATGATTTTGTCTCTTTGTGAGAATAATTGTGTTTGTTTATCTACAAATTAAATAGGTAATCATCAAAATTTTGAACAAACTTTAAATTTTAAACTAATTTTCTTACGCAAACAAGGTCATTAGTTGTTCAGAAGGTAAACGTTTTCCTTTAATTATGCAATTTCTAGTAACTTAAGTATGATGTCCACTATAGAAATTCCATTCTTTAGCCTATCTTGTGGTTTGTCTGCCCTGCAAAGTTTCAAATGTAAAAACCTGGAAATTCATATATTCTTTTGCTTTAAAATCCTTTGTACTGCGTCTGTATACTTCTTTAAATTATCGGTATTAAAATAAACTAAATATTAGCTCAAACATGTCTTTTTCCGGTGCTTGTTTGATAATAGTTGAGTTTTAGAAGTGATATTTTTTTCAAGTTTTATGAAATACCCAGCAGCCAATCAATATATATATGTAAAATTAAATTTCCAACAATACTGTAAATACAGTTGTCGATTCGTGTAAATTGCTTGACTATTTTTGCTTAAGAAGTTTCATTTATGTAATTACTTTCAAATCATTAACACTAAAAATATAAATTAATACGTTGCAAGTATACATAAGAAGCATATCTTATAAAGTACTTCACAAAAACACAAATTTGTTAAATCCATAACATATATAAGTACATATAGCCATGTTTTTGTAATTATAAATTGCATTCACACTATATTATACTATAAAACCTCAAATAACATCACACGATATACTCATAATACACTGTATAACTTCCAGACATATGAAATGACAACAGAGTACTTTATGCTATGACCCCTTCATTGGAATAAGATACAGTAATGTTCAATTCTGGAACATAGATATGAGTCTATCACTACTTCTATAAATTTATAAGGTATAACTCATATTAGTTACCCTAAGCATGTTACCCTAAATGTCACGATGAAGTTTTTTGAGTTATAATTTGCCCTTAAACTCCATCTGGCTTAATCTCGAAACATACTATGCTCTCATAACAGCCTCTACAAATATACAAAATTTGACAGTATATGTGATAAGAAACATTCATTTCGAAATGTAATAAGAACTTCTTTTTCGTTTACAAGCGTTTTAATATTTTAAGATAATACTTTCTATGATTTAATTTAATGAAAATCAAAATGTTTTTAACCACTGAAATCTGAAAAAGATTAAACGAAAACTCACAAAATGTAATTAAGAAAAAAAAGGAAAAAAAGATGATGTTAAGAATAAGGTAAGACCATCCTTTTACGTTTTAGATTAAGATAACCTACTTCATTTTCCTAGAAAAATAATTTGTACATTTTTGAGGTTTTAAAAGATTATAGCCAGTTTTGATAATCTTACCTTATAATATTGCCTACTATTTACATATTTCATAGTAACTGTATATGTTTTGAAACTTTAGATTTACATAAAATTGCTCCCTTTTTTACTTCCTGAAAGAATAACTACGATTTTCCAAACATATTTGTAACCGCAGAAACTTAAAAAGAATTTTAATAACAACGGGTTTAAACTTGCATCATAAATTTTCTATGGGAGCTATCTTTCGACCATCTTCAAGAATCGTCATCAGGCTCAATAAACCTAGTGGAAGATAACAGCGTTGTATAATTTCTTTGTTATTGTAACTCTTCTGAAATTTGTTTATTTTATACTCAAATTAAACAAGGATGATTCGTCAAGATATTTTGTTATAGCTATTTCAACAAGTGAAATAACTAAATAATATATTTTAATATCGACGTGTCGACCCAATTCAAAACGTTTTAACTAATTTCAATTTGATAAAATCTTTATAAATTGTAAATGATTAAATTTTCATAAAATGATAACTTGCGTTTTTGACGTTTTTGTACGAGATAAAACTTACAGCGTTCAACCATCAGTTTTTGGTTCTGATTGTATCAATACACATAAAGAGACTGAATGTATCTGTTAAAATTTACGTTACAGTCGACATTTCCTTATGATAAAATATACTAACCATGATATGTGCGGCGGTGTTTGACGTTAGATCTAAGAAAAGTGAAAATGATCTTTACCATGAAAAATTATCTATCATCTTTGAAAACATAGATCTGTTTCATTCAACTTTGTTAGAGTTTTTAAATCCCAAATTTATCTAGAAAAGCTCAAAGTAACTATTTTTATAGTAACTTGACATTTGGGTTTATAACTATTGCAAATTTAACTGTTTATTTGTTTATTTGAAGTTAAGCACAAGCTACACAATAGGCTATCTGTGCTCTGCCCACCACGGATATCGAAACCCGGTTTCTAGTGTTAGAAGTCCGCAGACATACCACTGTGCCACTGGGAAGCGGCAAATTTAATATCAGTTAAAAATATGACGATTCTTTTCAAGGACAAAATGCTTATTCATGATAATTCATAACAAATATTTTTACAGAATCTATTTTTTAATTATTCCAATAAAAAATGTATATTTATTAGTGAAATCAACATCTTATGTTCATTAAATATCAAACTAATTTGTATTTCTGATTCAGAATAGCTAAGGACTCTAATCGCAAACATTTTACGAAAGTAACTGAAACTAACTTTAAATTTCTACTTCCTTTAACAACCGTCAAATTATGGTATGAGACCTAAAGCTGAACATTGATATTAATAAAGTTAAACAATAAAACTCGTTAGGTATTATTTTTTCTAACTCACAGAAAAAAAAATGTTCATATATGAAGCTTCATAGTATTAAATATAACTAGTTCACGAAATTAAATCTTATACACGTCAAATGGCTAAAAATTTCATATAATAGACATCCCAAACAATTATACATAATAAATATGAAAAACATACCGAATAACTTTCTTCTACGTTTTGTTACTCTGATATTTTCTGGAAACTTTTAAAAATTTGATTATTATACTTTCCATTTTATAATTATGAATCTTAACACTTCCCCTTCAGATAAACCAAAAAGGCAAAATCAAGGTACTTCAATTATCAGAGCTTTGTATGGATATTTACGAATTGTAAAAGTTTTCGATCCATTTCAAGTGCCATTTATTACCCCCGAAAAGGATCCGAAGGCAGTCAGAAGGGGTCACCTGTTTTAACCACTCACACCACAATATAGTAGTGTGTTGGCAGTCAGTCAATCAGTAAATACTAAAATGATGTCACATAAGGGATGCTTAACGTTGCAATTTGTGCTGTTGTGACGTCAGTAAAACATGCGAATGCCATGAATCACGAAAATAATCATGGATTCTGTAGGTTACAACACAACATGACATATGAACATCAAAAGCGATAGATAAATAATTATTACTCTTAATTCTGGTTTTATTTAATCTTGAAAAAGAATACTTTTGGGGACCCTGTGCATGTACATCTAGCATATTTTATGTATTTATGCTTATCACTATTAGAGATGGTTAAAATCCTAACATAGTGTGAAAATAGATTATACTTTTGCTTTATAATAAGAGTTATCTAAAAAAGTTATTTCGTTAAATAGCTTTAAGACTCGTAATTGTCATAATTTCGTTTTTCTTCTCTGAGGCTTAATTTCTTTAAACAAGATCTTAGAGTATAACACAAATAAAGACAACAGATAAGGATCACTGAACAGTACTTTTATCTGGGTATCCAAACCACTAGACTCATGACAAATACTTTAAATAAGCCACTCCCAAGAAAGACCAGCAAGTTGTATGTAGCAATTAGAAGAATACCTGAGAAACGAAACTTAGAGTTAAGTGCACATTGTAAGATCATTTTAGCTCCACGTTTAGGATAATTTAGGATAATTGAAGATGATTAACTAGCGACTAGAGTAAAAACTACAGGTTAATCCCTAATGAGTATAACGCTTCGTTTGTTTGGTATTTCCCTCCTGGTTTCAGATTATTCCAGAAGCAGACCAACTACCTATCCAGATATAGGCAAAGAAAAACCTAAGTTGTTATTGTCGTCCAGGATATACTGACGGGACAATCACTCCAAACAAGTTGATGACATAGAAACCACAATTCCAGCATCTTTCTCCCAATAACAACTATGTTCATTAAACTGTACTGGTAATATGTTCTTTTTACTCTACTCTGCAATCACCGTAATCCTTTTTTCAATAAATGTTACTATAATTTTGCTCATGAAATAATATTATACGCAGATGAATGATTTCCACTCGACATTTGGTTTTATTACTTTGACGAAACATTTGTTCCTTGTTCAATATACCTAAAGTTAAAACATATGGAATAGAATTAATAATAAATATCAATATTTTCGGTTAATAATGCTTAAAACGTTATCTACGTATATCAAAAATCATTTCAAATTTTAGTCAAAATGTTTTTATTCGTTTTTACTCAAAAACAAGTTTTGTAATTTTCGATTAGAGGAGGCATTTTTTGTTTAGGTCACCGAAAATAAATGTGTAGGGATATAAGAAACTGTTGTTTCAAGTGTGAACCATTACAGTATTTGGTATGATTTCGTAAAATTAAAACTTGCTATCGTTGTTTTGATAAAATATCATATTTATAGTTTGTCACCCGTTATGACTTAATAGCATTCAATATTTCATTAGAGATATTTGCTGTTAAAACCTGTCTCATCTCTACATAGCAATAGTTAAACCCAATAAAAATATTAAAAATATCTGACGTATTGTAATTTTATTTCATTTAGTTGTCTAAGAATAAACACGTAACTTGAATTCAGCGTCTGCTCTACCCAACCTGTATATTTCCCCAAAAGGGAACCAAAGGCCGCCTTTAAAGGTCACATGTTTTTACCACTTGCACCACTATACAATAATGTGTTGTCTGTTAGACAGTCAGTCAGTAGATACTAAAATGGCGTCAAATATGTGACGCTTAACTATGCAATTCGTGCTGTTGTGACGTCAGTAAAACGTGTGCATGCCATGAACTACGAGAAGAATTATGCACACTATATACAACAACACAGCATGACATATGAACTTCGAAAGCAAGAAATAAAAATATTTGTTGCTTTTAATTTTGGTTTTATTTACTCTTGAAACAGAACACTTTCGGGAAGCCTTCTTAAGTACATCTAGTATAATTAAGTGTTTAAAACTGATAAGGAATTTAAATCAAAGAGGACAAGTAAACATTACTTTCAATACTCGATTCACATAGAGATGAATTACATGAAGGACTGAGATAATGCACATAAGTTGATTCATACGGTGTATCTGGATTGTTGATTTGATTTCTGATGTGTGAATAAAATGTTTCTCTACCAAAACTATTGGAATTCGAATACTATAACGAAATTAAGCCATGGGTGACAATCACGTGTGATATTGAGCATAACATATCCTATGT